GTACTGCCTCGTAGTCGAATTATTTATTTTATTTTACATAGTTGCAGTGTTACAGTCACACCATAGGTGTGTGTGTGTGTACAAGTGTGTGTCCGTGCGTGTGTGAGTTGGTGTGTTGATTTTGCACTCTAGATGTTTTAGAGTTTCACCCCTTCATTGCTGTGCAATTTTTTTCTGCATCGTGGGGGATTTGTAGATAGTACACACAAAAAGACCATGAGTGTGACTATTTTGTTTTACGACCACTTAGCTCTTTCGAATCATGCCCTCAATTTTTTTTTGTGTTCACATACCAAGTGCCATAAAAGTCACCAAGTTTCAGACCATTCAGGTGAAGCTACGATTTTTTAAAATTCTAAATATAAAATTCTCCGGTCAAAAGTGACCGAAGACCGCACAAGGTTTTTAAACATAAAATGACTGAAGTGAAAAGATAGAAAGATTTGTGCGATTCACAAATGCTATTGGATTCGTTTCTATCCTCTGGGCCCCACAGCACTGTTGTGATCCTGTTGTTGGCTCAGATGCGGTTGGATCTATTCGTTCCTAAATCTGTTCGGAATGGATCCAAGCACCTGCTGACAGTGCGGTTTTATCTCGACTTCATGCAGCACCCAGACAGCCACTGAAGTTCACATACTTGACAGTCATCCAGAGATTTCTCTCTTTCCCTCCTTTCAGATTTCTATTGCTCTCTCTCTTTCTGGCATCAGTAGGCACTAAGGTAAATCAGGTCTGAGAGCTCGGCTGTTCATTTCCGGGGTTTGTTCCCAGTAAAGGTGAGAGTGATTGTTGTGCGGGGTTCAGTGGTGGCAGAAAGTCTGGGACTCTGAAAGCTTTTATCTCCAGTCTGGATGACTCAATCGCTCTGAACTTCTGGGCAAAAAAAAAATGTTTTCAACTGTACAATTTTTTGTGATACAGTGGATCTGTCTACACGAAACTCGCACAGAAAATCTTATTTTCATTTAAAAACTGCAGCTTTCTAAAATGTAAAATATAAAAGCTGAATCTAAATGATTTAGTGGATATCTGATAGTCGGATTACTACGCAAGAACAATTTTCCTCTCCAAAGAGCAGATAAGCCATTATCAAGGGACACTTTAAAACCATTCAGAAAGTAATTTATAACTCAAACTCTCTTTGTCAGAACTGAATATTAGAATACTGCATACTGGACAGTGTATACTGGCATTTAAAGTACGGGAAACAGAATGCAGTATGTATCTGGACTGTTACATTTCCTGCCACCGTTATTGGTTAAAGAAGTAACAGCACATCTCTCCCAACAAGACACATGATTTAAGAAATAACCTTAAATATGAGCAATAGTCACAGTGATGATTGCCTTAGCAAGCACCATTAATAATAAATATGTTAGTACAGTAGTACATTGTTCTCACTTGACCTCATTATGTTGCATGGCTAATTCGGCGAGTGGCATCCAGTCTCGGAAAGTTATTTTGAATTTTTAATTTAATTTTGTGCAAAGATGTCTTTTGGTAGTTCAGGCTAATACAAAATCAGGCCAATTAAATTAAAATTAAAATAAATAAATAAAAACAATAAACTACAAATAAAAAAACAATAAAATAAATAAATACATAAAAATTAAAAATGTTTAAAATGCATTAGAAAAATGTGAAAAAGTTATCTGAAAACGTATTTATAAAGTAAGGAAATAATTTGAAAAATATATATCAATGTACAATACATAAATAAAAACAAAAATTAAATAAATAAAACTGAAAAATGCTTTAAATTCAACAGAAAAATCTGAAAATGTTCTTTTTTTTTAATCTGAAAATGTTCTCTGAAAATAAACTTCCTGCTGTGACATCACTTCCTCCTCAAGGAAAATAAAGAAAAACTTAATTTGATGAACATTTTGGGGAATAAATCAGTGGATAAAAACTTTCAATTTTTAATGCGTTATTTAAAGGACACGGGATTATATAATAGAATTTAGTGAAGAGTACGGTCCTGATCCACACTCCTAATCAGTAGGTGCACCTAAAAGTTGTATGCCATCCGCCATTAAACACCAAGAAGAAGAAGAAGACATCACTTCCTTTTCCTGTTATTCTTTCTTACCTGGCACCTACTGTTGTCATGGTGGTTGTCAGAGATGTCCGTCAGTATCACATGTCTTTGTATGGGCAGCCAGCCGAAGCGAACTGGAGCGAGAGCGCCGAACTGAGCTCTTTCTGCAGCAGGAGCAGCTTTAATGTGAACAGACTCCAGGCTGCTCGAGGAGCTTTCACACACACTGGGACAGATGCTAGGGGTCTGATTCCTCCTGCGCAGAGAGGAAACATCAGGACATTGTGGATTACTTCTCGCCGTCTCATTCGGGAGAACTGGCATTGATACCGTCCTGTCTGCAAACTGAGGTATTTGATTCTGAAGCCGACGTGATTGGAGTCTCTCCAGTGTCTGAAGCCATTTGTCCATCCTGCCACCCTCTATGCAGCTCAGCGGATGAGCTCCACGAGGGGGCTCATTCACTTGCGCTGCGGGGCCCTCGTAATAACCCCGCTCCCCAGGCCTCCTCCATGATGAGAACCTGCGAAGGAGACTCGTGCTGATTTTGCCAGCTGCACCATGGGGCTGAAGTAGCTGCCGCCAGCCCTCAGGCTTCACGTCCTCCATAATAAACTCTGAGAAAGACATTGAAAATGGATCTTAAAGGGATAGTTCACCCAAAAATGAAATTTTGCTGTTCATTTACTGACGCTCAGGCCAAGATGTACGTGACTTATTTTCTTCAGTAGAACAGTAAAGAAGATTTTCATCTGAAACCGTGGTCCTTGGTGATTCATTAAATATGTTAAATAGTCAGCGGCTGCACGTTTTTGAGAATAAAAAAGCATATCAAGAAACACAAAATTAATACTCATGACTCCTGATGATATATTGAGGTCTTAGGAAGCGAAACGATTGGTCTGAGCAAGAAAGAGAACATTATTTACAACATTATAACCTGTAATCCAGAGCCTCAGGCAAGCGGGGAAATCCGATTCTTTTCCACAAACTGATTCTTTTGAACAGTTCATTTCAATAAATTAGTTCACTGGTTCACTGACTTGTAATCATGCAATGATGTAACATACACAGTTATATTATTAAAGCACCCAATAATGATGTGAAATGTGGACGTTTTACTTGTCCAAAGCATACAAAGTGAAGAAACTAGTCTTCATCAGCTCATCTTTTTACATAAACCAAGAGAAACCATAAAAACTTTCATTTGGTCCCTTCATTAAAGTGCTCGGTTCACACATGCGCATATCAGCGGCTCATCGGTCTTCGTCCGAGTTGAACTGTTTCCTCAGTTCAGTGACTGTTGGAGGAACTGAAGCACTGGATGAGTTCATTCATCATAGGATCAGACGCATTTCGAGTCAGAGTGACTGTCAGATGTCTAAAAGTGAGTTTTGATTGAGTAACTTCCATTGGACGATTCAGTCCAATTTGGTGAACTGGTTCATTCAGTTCACTAAAAAGAACTGGTTCAAAAGAATGATTCATATGCAAAATGGACATAACTCTGGGCTGTGTACCTAAACTATGGATTATAGGAAATGTTGTAAATAATGTTTTGTTTCTTGCACAGACCGATCGTTTTGCTTCATAAGACCTCAATGCATCATCAGGAGCCACGGGTATTTATTTTCTGTTGCCTGATATGCTTTTTTATTCTCAAAAATGGGCAGCCTTTGACTTGCATTTTATAGATCATAAAGGACCATGTTCTCAGCTAAAAATCTTCTTTACTGTTTTACTAAAGAAAAAAAGGCACCTATACCTTGGATGGCCTGAAGGTGAGTAAATTAACATCAAATTTTCATTTTTCAGGAACTATCGCTTTAAGAACAAGAAAGCACACCCTAATTGAGTTTCAAAGTGTTCAGAACACTACGTTTTCTCCTAAAGTCAACGTACAGGCACATCCACTCTTTTTTCAGTAAAAAATACACCAAAACACCTTAAAAATATCAATTCTCTGAGCTGCTTTCAGATTTTTTCTATTGCTTTTGGCAAATAGTTTCATAGATATTTTACAGTGACGTCCTAATTGAGCTCAGACTGCTTTGTCAATACAATCCTACACAAACACACTTAAAAAAGCCAATACTCAACAAGCTGACATGGCAGCATGCACGGTAAGCAGAGCAGTTTACCTGCGTCACACGGCTCTGAAGAGGACGACACAATTTGACTTCTGTGACAATCCCAGCTTTCCTTCCATGTCTCCTTCTCTCACAGTGTGAAGAGGGGCCACTGGTGCCGTCTCCTCTCAGCCATGACTATAAATGTGTGTGCTAGTCTGAAGGAACAAAAGACTTACAGAACAACTTTTATTTTTCACTGGGAGAGAGATGTGTGTGTCAGTGTGTGTGAGTGTGTGCTCGCAGCCAGTAAATACCCCCTTTTTCAACCTGGACATGTTGGCTTGGAATTGTTTTGTTTACTCTTAGAGATGCCTTTAACGTTTGTCTTGTAGTCACAAAGGAGTCTGCAGTTTAACACAGATAACCTAAAGTGAAAAAGCATTATCTGGATAAACTGTATACTTTGTAGTACTTGCATTTTCTTTTCTTTCAGTGTTTTTTTTAAGGAAAAGGAAACTAGAACATATCTGGAGAGTGCAAAATTCACTGCCACAATGGATTTTGTGGGTGGTTTGACAAGCTAATGAGTGGGTGGTTGCTATGTAGTTGCTTGCTAGTCAAAAAGCTCCAACCTTTCCCCTACTATATACGGTGAAAAACTGTATAGGACATTACATTGTAATTTTACGGTAGTATACCGTTTTTAGAAGTGAAAAAGAACCTATAATTTGCAGTGAATAACCATAAATTGACATTCCCAGAATTCCCTGCGTTGTATTTCAAATTTGATGGGGGTTTTTTTGTTGTTGAAATAACTGTTTCTTCTTAGTTTTTTCTTATCAGTTTTGTACAGTAGGGTTGTATGTTACAGCTAATGTTGTTAAATTAATGTTTATTACATTATTTCAGTTCCGTGTGTGTTACCATGATGATGTTTAGTGTTTGTGTGAATGACACTGTGCTCCTATATATGTTAGTATTTAAAAGCTGCTTGTGATGGGCTTTGGTTCATCATATGACTTTCTTATCATCACCTGCTTTAGGTGGTTATCGGTGTATTACAAAGGTACAATACAGATTTCAGTACTTCAATAGGTTGGTATATTAACATTATATCAGTTAATGAAATTACGGTATTTAAATGTAAATTTAATTTAAAACCGTAAAACCTAAAATGTGACCCTGGACCACAAAACCAGTCATAAGTAGCACAGGTGTATTTGTAGCAATAGCCAACGATACATTGTATGGGTCAAATTTATCGATTTTTCTTTTATGCCAAAAATCATTAGGATATTAAATAAAGACCATGTTCCTTGAAGATATTTAGAAAATTTCCTACCGTAAATATATCAAAACCAAATTTTTGATTAGTAATATGCTTAGCTAAGAACTTTATTTGGACAACTTTAAAGGCAATTTTCTCAATATTTAGATTTTTTGGACCCTCAGATTTCAAATAGTTGTATCTCAGCCATTATTGTCCTATCCTAACAAACCATATATCAATGGAAAGCTTATTTATTCAGCTTTCAGATTATGTATAAATCTCAATTTTAAAAAATTGACACTCAAGACCAGGGTCACAAATGTTGCTACCATATTTTTTACTGTAAAATTCTGGCAACCACAGCTGCTGTTTTTTTACCGTATTTACCGTAAATTTTTTTTACAGTGTACATATGAGCAATAATAATAGTGATGCTTGTTTAAGCAAACACCGCAAACACCAAAAAAACCCCTCGCTTTATGCTTACTGCAAACAAATCTTTAAAAAAAATACTACACCACTACCATGGTACAGTCAAGGTATCAGATTATTAGATAGCGTAATATATGTGACACTTACAAACCACCAAATTGCATAGTAACACACTAAAAAAAAAACATCAGGACACCATAACAACCACATAGCAACACCCTGGCAACTAACCACGTTGTTCTAGCTTTACATTAGTGAGTTTTTCACATGCAAACACCAAAATCTATTTTTTTAAGTCATACTGAGATGTGGGTTAGAAGCGCATCATGTAACACACACAGAGCTTCTGCTATCCCGTGGTTTGGAGCAGGACATGTGATCGCCTTCAGGCGATTAGCGCTTCAGGGAGTTGAATCAGATGATGAGGTTGTTCATGTTTGTGTCGGGACACCCACATGATCTCTCAATACCACAAAAACACATCTTCAGGGTGAATAAGCTCTGTCCCGGGCTTTCTGTACAACCCGTCCATTCTGCTGCTTCAGGATCAGGATCAACAGCCCTTTGACCTGTAAGAAAGAGAAATCACAAGTGAGATCTCTTGGAAGGTGCTGCTGTGTGTATTTTTTTATTTATTGCTGTACTAAAGCATAAAAATACCATACATGTTTGCAGATATTTAGGAAACATGCTAAGTTCACATACTTGTTTCTCAGAAAACCAATGCAACAGCCAGTTATTCTACTTTGAAATGTGCGTTTGGTGTCGGAATGCCTGCTTTTGTTTTGGTCTATGTGACTCCGCCCACTGCCAATTTCCCCAATAGAATTTCGACACCCCGGGTTGCCAGTTGGCAGAAAACACAGCGTATTGCAGCCATGGAAGCCAGCAAATGAAGCAGGTCAGAGATCGCAGATTCTACCCGACCTAAAAATCCTCAGCATCTATCTAGAAAAACTCTATGAGCAAAGGAACATTAAAATGCAGACAAATCAACTCCTCAACTTACAGTGTAAAGCTTGTCGTCTTTCATTGTCCTCAATCTGGCAAAAGAAAAAGGCCCAGAAAAATAATGTCTTAATAATATTTCTAATAATATGTACTATTCTATAACTCTATATTCAAATACCAATCAGTAAACAATGCATCCTGGCAAACCCGTACATTACTTAAGATATTCAGCTCAGCTACAATTGTGCAAACACTGTGAAAAGTGTGTAATTTTTTTTCTGAGTTATTTTTATAGATCTTTTCATCACTTGGCACCTTGAAAATAAAAAATATTTTGTTCGTATTTTTAGTAAAACAGTCTTAAAAATATAAATATTGCATGCATAAAGAATATATGCATACTATACATACTGTTTTTATTATTTATGCATACTGTGTGGGCAAAGTGTGTAATTTTAACTAAAATGTTCTATAAATCTGCTCATCTTACGGTACCTTGGAAATAAAAAATTATATTTTTAATAAGAAAATGTCTTAAAAAGATCAATATTACATGCATAAAGAATATATTGATACAAAACACTGTATACTGCTGTTGGGGCAGTTGTGGCCTAATGGTTAGAGAGTTGGACTTGTATCCCAAAGGTTTGAGTCTCGGTACCAGCAGGGATTGTAGGTGGGGGGAGTGAATGTCCAGTGCTCTCTTCCACCCTCAATACCACGACTGAGGTGAGACCCTTGAGCAAGGCACCGAACCCCCAACTGCTCCCCGGGTGCTGCAGCATTGGCTGCCCACTGCTCCGGGTGTGTGTGTGTTCACTACTGTGTGTGTGCACTTGGATGGGTTAAATGCAGAGCACAAATTCCGAGTATGGGTCACCA